GATCTTTTTTCCTTCTTCACGTGGCATCGTCGTTAATCCAGCCGCTCACACTGAAACAGTGTTTTTATGACTACATCAACAGTTTAACGTTAGAACTACAAACGGTGGAGATCTCGGCGTTGGAAAAACTGTCGTATAAAAGCTGTTTGTTGTTTTTACTGCGGCGTCTTCTTCTCTCACAGGGTTCGATTTTCAGATCACCAAACACAGTTAAAGAGTTCTTTACATGGAAGGTTCGGAGGAGCGTCCGACGTTGGAGGTCACCAGTAGACGATTTCACATATTTGTGGGAGGGGACAGGATGGACTACTGCTGGTCCCGGCTGCTGAGGAAGTCTGCGGAGGATCTGAGTGTTTCTGCTTCAGTCCTGTGAGAAGATAACTCGGGGCCTCTGGCGTTCTCCTCTCTGACTCCTGCAGAAACACAGACGACGCAGCACTGAGGCCATGACCACGTTAAAGAGCATCACGGAGGCGGCGAATGAGAGAAAACAGCTTTTTGCCTAAAGTGGACGTCAGACTGCGAGGATGCACCAAAACATGCAAACCTGAATGAACCGAAGCGACGTAAAGACGAGCGTGCTCCACGCCCACGCGGCCGACTGCAGCGACACACGGCTCGTCGCTGCCGCTGGCTGAGGCTTCAGGTTTAGTTTGATGTTTGACGACGCGGCGAACGCGTCACACACGTGCTGCTCATCTGCGTTTGAATCGTTTCTATGACGCCCAGATTTGTAAAAACCACAGAAATGAAAGAAGGCTGCACGAGTGCATACCTGCCCCCCCCTCAGTGCGGGGGCTGCTCTCCAGGTCGGCAGAGGGCGGCTGGGCCGCGGAGGCCGGAGGAGGGGGTGACGGGTAATCGGGCGGAGTCTCGTTCTCGTCTCCCGATAGGCTCCTGGGGACACCTGTTACCATGGTGCCGGAGAGGCTGACGGGTCGCTTAGCGATGGGCAGCTTCCTCTCTGGGAGACCAAACAGGTGTCGTTAAAGAGACAGTACAACAATCACGTGCTCATGCAGCTGCTGTTCTTTCATCGCTTCGTTTTTGTCTGTTTTCATCTTTTTCTGTTTAAGTCGCATCAGTTTTGTTTTTGTTGGTCTGTGATCGTTTGTGTCTGTGGCTGCAGCTGTTGTTTCTGTTACTGACATCGTTAGAAGAAAGTACCGATGTAAATGTCGGTCTCTGTGGGTGTGACTGACGAACGCCTCTAATGCAAGAACGCTACAGGGAGGCGGAGCATCGTTTATTACTAAGCAGCGTCCTGAAGGCTGAGCCGCGATTTAAAGAGACGCCGCCTCACTTTTCTTTTGTCCTTTGTACTGCTGAGACTTCTTCCTCTGTTTGGATGCTGCTGACTGCAGGTCTCTGGAGCCTGAAACAAAAAAAACACAACAGTTTACCCGTCCTTGTCACCATGGAAACTACAGATCAGGTGGGACTTACCTGCGTTGACAGCCGGAGGCTGCAGCTGGTAGCCGGTCAGCTGACACCAGCCCACCGGGTACAGGTCGGGCGACTCGCAGTCCACCCACTGGTCGTACTCGTCTTCCCAGCCGTCGAAGTGTATCCGTAGCAACCGGTGGACGATGCGCGTGACGGTGGCGACGCAGACGAGCCGCGGCTCCATGAGGTCGACGGCCTCCAGCTTCATGCCGGGGCGGAACCCGTGGTTGGGGACGTCCTGATGGAGGACACGGACACGACGCGGTCGTTAACACGTGGGCGTTTTTTTGTTTCTAGTCGCCGTTTCGGGTCATTTGTCAAGAAAAACAAACTAAAAAGGCAAAATTGAAACTTTCACTCGGTTCCTCCACACAAACAAACCTGCAACCCTAAAA